TATGCTAATGTATACCAGCCTACAACAATACTTGATCTGACTTTAAAAATCAAACTTTTTCAAAAATTATCCCATTTAATCAGTATGTAAATAGAAACTGCATGTGATAATGTTATGTTCCAGAGAAATATTTTCTACTGTTATTTACAATGAAACTCGTTGCAAAATACATATCTTGTTGTTATCAAAACGTATACCAAAACACGAAAAACTTGTTTAATCATTTGCTACATACACGATTCCTATAGTGGTGTATTAATTCCAATTCAAAATTACTACGTCACTGTAATTACATAACATATTAAATGGGTAATACAGTAGCGTAGCAAGGTCGTAATAGGCCAGAGCCTTCCCCCCTAAACATGTCCTTCGTCGGGGGGAGGGGGTGTCACCCTTCTCGGCTCGTACGGGTGTATGACAATAAAAGAAGTTTTTCAGATTCCAATGGGATTCTGCATGGGGATCTTGGGTTCTGAACCACTGCGTTTTTCCCATACGTCAATTGCTACACCACTGGAGTTGTATCTTTATTAATAAGACAAGGCCAGAAAGGCAATTATAAGTAATCGGCGAATTTCTTTTCGTCTAATCTCTAATATTAGGTATTTTTCTAACTGTAAGGCGTTTGGACAGACCGATGAGAAAGAACATGGTACGAAATGGAGTGAGCAGTTCAGAGGCTATCTACGGGGTCGCAGAGGTTAATAAAAACGTCATGTAAATATACATCATACTGTTGACAAATACGAGAGGCGATGTATTATAATTTTTGAAAACACTATACAAAAACCCTTAACGGTACTTTTTTGTAGACTTGCGAGGGCATTCATTCGGGGAATCCTGGGAAAAGGGGCACACGCAGAGGTTGGCATATTTGGATTAATATATATAGCAAATATTTAAAATGGATAAAATTACATCGATCGCTATAACAAAAGACAATCTTGTATCCATCTTTGTTTGCTGTTTAGTACGTAGTAATGGTGGCAACGTCTTCAACCCCATTCCTGCCCAAAGTAGCAGATACTTCAATGAAAAAATACATAGAAACTGAAACATCGGACTAGTCCCAGAACAAACTAGAATAATTGCAGAATTCTTATTACAAAACTTTCTCTGTATTAATTACGTATTGGATTTTTCCACATTGGATCGATAAACTGGGTATAACTTAAAACTTCGCACTTTTCTAGATCTATTGGCTGGGTAATTTCGCCACCTGGTACGATACGCATTCTTGTGTGTGTTACAACGTTTTCTGGACGTCATCCAAGAATTTTCTGAAAGACCTCGTCGACGTTATACATTCGTAAATATCTACAGGTACAAAACGAGTTCATTTTTGTTACGCAAATGTAGCAAATGTATTCACCGAAATTTTCAAAAAATTATCGCTAGATAAGTGCACCATTTATTAGGATATTTTGGACCGAAAAGAACGACAAATTACACATCTGCAATCCTTTTCAATTTATAATCTGTACACGTGTAATATATAAATGCGTGTGCTGAGGTATTTTTAGGCTGGCAAAACGGGAACTAATTCGTTTTCGTTATGGAATGTGAGACAGCGTTTAAGAGACCCAAGAATGTGCGTCGTTTCCAGGTGATTGAACGCAAGTGGCAATGTCAATTCCGCAAAAGAAATATCGAAAACTCAAAATAGAGAAAAGTCCAACAACCCTATTTCCTTAACAAACACTTTTGTGGGTTTAACACACAAGAATACCTATTCTGTCTCGACTCGTGCACAATAGATCTTTCCATGAATACAAAAGTATCCTAACTACCGAGTCCCATCAACATCCTACAATACCCATCGAAAAAACATCATCATCATAAGGTCGCCAGTCTTAAGACTGGTTGGATACGCACCTCCACCTTTTCAGAACAGATCCTGAGCTAATCTTCAAATTTCCGTAGAACTAGAACATCCCACATCCTTAACTATTTGTTAACAGTAATCAAATCTAGGTCTCCCTCTACCCTTCTTAACTCCTGTTTCTGTTTCTAATGTCTCTAACCAGCTGTTCATGCCTGAGAAGTTGTCCTAACAACCTATCTCGCCTGCTTCCATAGGGTCCCCTGTTCTCCTATTCTTTCTAATACCTCCTGATTTCTAACCTTCTCCATCCACTGTATCCTCATCATTTGACTGTAACACCACATTTCTAACAAATCATACCGCTTGCAAAAGGATTGTAAGTTTTCTTGAAGCCTAATAGTAAAACGGGTTATCTGTCCATTTGGATATTGACGTTACATTTACTAATCCTCTAGTGAAACATTACAGACGTCCAATGACATCACTAATGAGTTTTTGGAAGTATCCACGTCGTGCGTAAAACTGAAATTCCAGGAGTCGGTAAGACGTTTGAAAAACCGCCTGAAGGAAAAGCCACTAGCAAGATTCGGCGGCTTTAGTAAACCTGAAGCGGTAACGACTATAGAATTACGAAGAAAACTACCAACAATTATTAACGCGCAAGGTCGCGGGCATGGACCAAGGAACTTCCTACACACACGCTCATAATTCCCACCCGACAACCTCCAAGAACGACGACGCACGTGAAATAATGAGGGGATTCCCCTTCTTGTACAACAACGATTACTACTACTACTACTACTACTACCACATATGCTACATGAAGTATTATAATATGTTAAACGTTCAAATTATGTCGGCGCAATTACAGGCTTGTATCGTGTGATTAAACATTCACGCAGACACTAATGGATATATAGAAATGACGCCCACCCGAGTAGACCGAGCAAGGAGAAAGTCAAGGTTGTTCAGCCTGAAGATTAATAATAATAATAAAGAGAACAACATTACTTAACACCAATCGTCACGACTACTGCGCAAGCAATGTGCAAGTTTTCTACGATAACGAGGACGCAGAATAAAGGAGGACGAACATCAACCAAAGATGTCGGAGTCATGGGTATCCAAGACGAAATTAAAGAATATGGTCGCATATCAAACTTTATGAACTCTATGAAGAAACGTAATGGACTGCTTAATAAGGGTAGACATTCTTCCCTCTAGGAGCATGACGTAGAGGACGGATTTGCCAAGTCAGCAACCATACAAGAGTTTCGTTTCGTGAGGTATACTACGTTCGAGTGCAATGGGTACAGAGTTTACTGAAATCAAGGCCAGCGACATATTTCCTTGGTAACGAAATACTTATACTAACGTACGTATACCTTATACCACGTCTATTGCGACGTTGCCATTCGTTGTTTAATATCGCGATTTTGTTGAGGAGCTTGCTGTCCAATTTGCAAAGGTGCAAGCAGGAGGAGGTTCGCGGTCTATTTTAAATCTCTGGACGTTGGTCCCCCGCGCATGTTCAACTTATCGTAAGAGAAAATCCGCTGGATACGCTAAGGAAACATATCTACGCACTAGAGATACTCCACAAAAACTACGTCCTACAGACGAATTGTACATTAAATTAAAATAATAACAATGTTTTTTAGATAATGAAAGTGCTTTATTTTTGATACTGTACAATTGTTTACATAATTGAGGTGTTGCACAGATAAATAAGTATTCGTCGTACAAAATCGGAAAGGTAAACGTTCTATGCAATATTTTAAGAATGTCCTCGTCAACCGGAGTCTTCAGTAGCATACAAAACACATTTGCACAAACGAATATATTAAGAAGTTCGTACCACGGTGTTTAGGTACAACAGAACGTATTAACGGCGCACCTTTGGTACACCAAAATATTTAATATGATCATCGCGGAAGTAGGTACCTTAATGGGTAACACGAAAAGGTCTGCTTAAATTTGTTGCTAATACATTTAGGGTTGGATGTCCAAACCCACAAATGGATACGACCTAAAGAACAGTAACTGACATGATCACTGTCTTCTTCCTGACATGCCTCCTTCCTTTGATAGGAAGGTGTCTCCTTCAAACTAATTCTCCTAAAGATCTCCGGAAGGGAGAAATCCAAGTTCAAGGGTTAGGCATCAATGCTAGAGAGACTAGTTAGTCTAAATTTCGTAACCGACTCTTGAATCCTTAAGTTTGAGATACAGAAAACAACACCCGATCATGTAGATACGATGACGTAAAGCGCATTTCAAATTCTTCTTGCCCACGTTCGGTCCACAAAAATCGTGCTTTTTTATCTGGCCGGTATCTGCTACTTCTAACCATAAAATTTAATTTCACGTTTCAAGGCTATCGCTATTCGTGGAATTGCACTTTTTATTTTTCCATGGAAACGGGTCTTCGAACGAAACAAAATATTGACTTGGCTACTATCTGTTAGTAAGTACGTAATAACAATTTGCTTGTCGGATTGGGACGGGTACACTTTTTTGTTTTGTTTACAAGTGCTTGCGCGTGTATCATGCACGTATCATGCCACAACTGAGACCAATTCCACTCATTAAACCTACGATGCTGCTGTTCTGGTCTGTTGTTTGAGAAGACGTCATAGGCCACGTGTTTAACACGCTAGTAAACAGTAAATAGTAAACAAAACAACCTGTCGATTGTTTGTTTACGAAATTCTTCCGGAAATTTACAGTTCCCCTCGCCATTGATAAGACGGAAAATGCGATTTTATTACACCATTACACCTGCTACGTCACGCGGTCATTGCGTAATTTTCGAAACGCAATTTAACAGGTGTCTCCACCACATCAACGTATGGGTAGGTCCGTTCACTTTAACCGAATTATATTAAAATGCAAACGTAACTATTGTATGTTATTAAATCGTTATTTCGTTGAAGTTTCACGAGTTACGTAACTCGATGAAAATGAATAAAACCGTTCACCTTGGTTCTATATCAAACATGCGCTCTTTGCGTTATTAGACGAAGGCGCGCACAAACATCGAAATACAAAACATTAGCTTCACATTCATATTAATAAATCTTGTGTTAGTAACAATTATGGTACAGACATAGTACAGTGGGTAAGTGACTTTCACATCGAAAGCAAAGCAGGGATTTTGGCTGTTCCTTCTTACCTTCCAGCCAGCCGAGCTGTTACTGTCACCCTTGTCTTTGAAATACGGCACGTTCTGGACCATCCATTCATAAATCTGGGACAGCGTGAGCCGTTTTTCGGGGGAGGATGTTATGGCCTGAGTGATGAGATCTGCATAGCTCAGGTTACCCCAGGCATTTCGTCGACTCGTGCCTTTCTTTGCATGAAGTGCACTAGGCGTGGGTACCTGAGGTCCACCGCACTTGTTGCCCGCTTCCTCACCTGGTTCCACGAAATTCTCAGGCCGCGGAAGAGGCCACGTGTTCGAGCGGGCTCTCGTCTGGGGTTCAAAACCATCGTGCTCTGCAACCGGCTCCATCATATTCATATTCATTTTCGATTAGTTTACTATAGGAAATAAATCACAGAAATAGCAACAACCTCACTCTCACGCACTAAACAAAATGTAATTAACAAGCATAGCCACAGCCGATCCACGGCGCAGTTTTCTTGGCATACACGTGAGTTAGGTGTCTGTCTGCGTATACGTACACACACATATGTATACGTTCAACAAGTCATCGTCCACAAATTATCGAATCCTACTACGAAAAACGCACGCGTATTCACCACGACAGGCGTCCTCTTAAATCGTACGCAATTCAATCATTTTTATTAATCTGATCACGTTGTCTTATTGAAAAAAAAAACTACTCGGGTGTTATGACGCAGTTTGAATGGCGATCAATCCACACGACACACGTTAGTAAGAAATGGGAGTACTGATGATACTACGACGAAGGTTGACTATGGACTGATCGGCGAAACGTAACCGAGCAGCGAAATCGCAAGACCAGAGCACAGCGTTGGTGTTGGAGGACAAGCCCACCGACGCTTGCGCACAATTGGCGCCATACACGCGCGCAGATTGTCTTTTATTGCAACACACGCATCACCGGTAAGCACGTGACCCACCACTGCTATCTATCTCGAATTAAGGTAAGAAATGAAAAGGAAACCGGGGGGAATTACCTAATAATTATGAGCGTACAGACCGACGCACCGATAGCCGGCAAAAGATCATTCGATTGTCCATTCAGCCAAATTCAGCGCAAGAGGTATACCAACGGGTTAGAAACTCGCGCGAAAACTGTAGGGTCCTAGTACATAACTGTACTTAATAAAAACAGTTTTTTAATTAATCTGACAGTTACTCTACCATGTTCCGAATAAGATTCAGCAGAAACATCATTAAATGATCAGATATGTCTCGGGATTTACTATGCAAATCAAATCCTGACGCACTTTTCTGGCACTTATTAATTGTACCTACATAAAATTAATTATTAGATTTAGTACCAATACCAGTTAAGTTAATGATACGAATATCAGATTTGGAACTAAATCATGTTACATGCATCCCCTGATTATTTTCAGTTTTAAAAACGGTTTAAGATGTAATTGGTAATTGCGTATTCATCAAAGTAAAAGTTTTATTTGAATAAAGTGCTAAATTACTTTATGGACTTGGATAATTCGATGACCCATTCCTTACCGTGAATGCGTCATCCATTACCTACATTACGGATTGTAGTACGCATAATATACAGTATGTAAGTATAGGGTGTTTCTGAAATAAGTATCAGGCTCGCAGGAGATAATAGGGCACTATGAAATAAGAAAATTAACTAACGTTTGGTGAACCGAAAGTCCACCGCTTTCGAGAAAAACGTACTTGAAAGTACAGGCATGAGAAGTAGGTCAATGTGTCAGTGTTATAGGTCAGTGTTCCTAGACTAATATTTTCGTGGACGCTGGAATGGATGTATGCGTCCTATACCTTAGCCGGCGCGTAATCCAGATCTTAATTCGTCTGACTCCTTTGTATGGGGCTGTACGAAACAGAACGTGTATCAAACGCTAGTGCAAAACGCTATTGATTTGCATGACCGTGTATGATCGCTGCAGATGAAGTACGCCAAATGCGCGACTCAGAAATAATTTTTGTAGTGTACGAATCACACGAATGCAGCGGTAATGGTTCTACCCTAAACGAGGTAAAATTGAGATATCATTCCCAATGGAGAAGAAAGAAGTTACACTAGAACTAGATAATCATATCATATCAGTTATTTTTGTGTTTAAAATATTTAAAAAAAGGACGTTAAGATAAGGGATTACGGTTGCTTCTCAGGCGCTAAATATTACGTATGTTGTCAAACAAATTTTATCACTAGGTCTTTTCGATACAGATAGAGACCATTTCAAATGTGTTTAATTTTGCCTCGTTCGAAAATTTAGAGCGCAGAAGCGCGTACTTTCCGCCTGTCATCTTGTCTAATCGTACTTAAGCCTTCCGATTAGATAAGAATGTTTAACACCTACAGTAAATGGTAGATTTTTATGAAATCTGTTATCGTCTTTATGAGGAAAATATCGAAAAACAATCACGATCGATTTGATTGTAAAAACCGTGGCGTTTTTGTGAATGACTTGCCACAGCCATCGAGCATTACGAATTGTCGCAGTTACTACGCACCAGCAAAAAGCATAACAACTAAACTTCCTTGCATTGCCTACAATGGAGACCGGGTCGTCAAGCTAATTACGAATCTTATTACGTCTTATTACATCAATTGGTCTTGTTGGTTACTACGAGATGTGTGACCATGCATATGCTTTGAAGTATCAATAAACACGACAAGAAGAAAGTATGAAATTCTCATTATTGAAACTTTAAAAATATCTTTAAGGCTTGAGTGATAAAATTAATTCCATTTGTAAGAAATAGTACTAGGAATGTCCTGACTCTAAACTGAGAGAGTTATGGGTAGATATTGGCATGTTTAATGCAAACTCTATCATAATTGCTAAAGATTAGAACGCAAAAGTGCTAATTACTTATCAATAAACAATATTTATTATGTAGAAAGCATGTACGTTACATTATAGCGTCGTAGAAAATCCAGTTATTCATTGTAATAAAAAAAAGCGTGGCTTAAATGAATACAGCCCCTCCAAGGCTACTTCCGTATAACACACGCGTTTTTCATGTTAATACAGACAGGAGCTTTGCGAAATTTTTAAAATAACTTAATCGACGTACATGTAAGCACATAACATGCAATAATCATTCTTTGTAACTGTAGAAACGAACACACTATTTGTTGGTTGTAAAAGTCAAACGTAAAAATTCAAACGCATTCATGTACGCGAGACGGCGGCCGTGGTATGTGTCAATAATATGTAATTTTAATTTCTATTGGCAAGGCCAAATGATAAAAGCCGATCAGTAGTGATATATGCAATTGTTTCTATTTAGTGTGTCATTTTGTCACATGCTTCGAGATTAACACAAAAAGCCGATCTATGGTATTCCTTCCGGTGGCGTTCAAGTCAACGATGTACACGCGCCACTCTATCCTTTTCGTAAATGGAAAATTATGCTAAAAGTAGAAACGGAATAGGCAAAAGAGCAAGAAGTGAAACTAAATGACAACAAATGATATATATACTATGTGCTTTGGAAAAATCAAGGAAGAAGAAGGTAAATATGAAAAAGAAATCGAATGAGCCATCTCGCACCACTCAATGATAAACATAAACATAAGGGTAATGATCTTGCCGAAAGGCCCAACTGCTCCGGCAATGAAGACGCGTATTCTTATGATGCCATCAGTCGGAATGCATTGTTTTTTGTTTGATATGCACGTGCAATCGCCCTGACTGTGTACCAGTTGCTGCGAAGGTCACCACTACATTTGCATATTTCGTCACTTGACGCTTGCAATAGCCAAACTAACGCGACTGAAATACTTCCGAAATACTGATAGTGAATTAATATGTAAGTGATGGGATATATGATGGTGGGGCACCATCTAAGGCATAAAGGGCTAGTGATGGGACGTAGTAGGGATGGGAGTACAACTAGCCTTCGGACTGATTATTTTTTGATAATAATGATGATGTTTTTTCTAATATATTAGGAAAAGTAAGAGAGCAGAAGAAAGATGGATTGGTAGGACAACTTCCTAGACAGGAAGGGCTAGTTAGTCATTACAGAAACAACAGTTACGAGGGGTACAAGATTTAGAAAATAGTTAAAGATGTTGAGTTTTTCAGAAATAGGGAGATTGACTCATAATGGGAAGAAGTCCAAACACTTTGAGGACTTTCTAATGATGATGATTTTATTTGATGTTTTAAACAATCAGAAAACAACAATTTTTCGATCTTATAACACATTATTTATGTATAATTCCCTTTGAAGTTTAGGAGTTTTGCCCCTTTTTATTATTTAGTGGGTCCTTCTCTAGATAATTGACCGTTTCGCAAAATACTGCCCTCGGGCATCAATCTTTCACTTCGAACAAGAAAGAAAAGAGAGACGCGACGGCATTGTCGAAGGAAAAGCCTAATTTAATTTTATAGCATTTTCCCCCATCCTGTGGGAAGATTAACACGTTTGGAATTTTACGGGAATCACCGGCACCATTCACACCATATGTAACACTTGTCGAAGCATTACCGACATTTACGACGCTACCCCGACGCCACGCTATCGGCGCAAATTGGCCACTAAATTAAAAGCCGAGACAGAGAATCAACATCAATCTATTGTGAATTATGACCAAACCAAAACACTGTGTACTTATCTCTTTAAACAACTTCGAGAAAGTACATACCCATCAATAAAAACCATTTTTAAAAACTTAAAATTTTTTGATATCGTGTCAATTAATAAAGGGTTAAAATGATTTGGATCGTCTTGAAATTAAGACCGAATTGACCACAATCATCGTGTCATTATTATAAGTCAAATTGCTTGATATTTTTCGTCGTTTGATGTTGTAGTAGTTTTAAAACTTTTCGGAAATTTGTTACAAATAAAAATGAAATTGTTTAAGGACCACTGCAATTTTATTTAATAGTCAAAGAACGGGTTTTTTTCTTTAAAAAATATGTCAAGCATCTTTTTTTTTTCATTTCGCCTATAAATTGATCAAACATTTTTAAGATTCCACAATGTAAGTTCAAAAAAATATTTCGCAAAAATACTACCTCATAATATTGAACGTACTATATCTACTGCTTCTAACTTGTATAGTGTACAGTATACAAAGTACACAATAAAACTACGAAAAAGTAGTTCACAGTGTCCTCTATACTGTTGAGAAGTATTACATTTACTAACGAATATAAATTGCTGGGCCATCTCTGTTTCAAAGGCTGAATGTTCAGTTGTTAGCAACCTATATCATTCTACTTTTGTACCAAATGCGCAACTCGTGGAGTTGAAAAATCCGTTACACACCCTTAAATATCATTCTTTGGTTAAATGTACGCCGTGGAAAGGTGATATAGGCGAGATGTAGACGTTTGTGTCATTTTTCTGCACATTTTACATCATATCGTATTGAAATTTTAGGTAGTATTACATATTAAATTAATGATTTATTATCATTGTTGAAATTATAGAATTATACAACTGTAAAATTAGTATTTTGAGCGCTGCATTTTTATTGATCATCCGTTTGCTGACGTCAATATGACGCCAATGAAAAATGGAGAATGATTTGAAATAGGCGCGTTTTATATCGGTTTATTCCCTTTTAATCCCATTTCAAGTCCTTATATCATAAAAATATTTACGTATTAATAATTTCATTCCTTTTTGAGTTACGAATATGCTCGAATCACAAAAAAATGTCAAAGGATTCCAGAAATCTACACGGATAACGTTACAGAAAGTGTCAGAACTTGACAAGTAACCTGTCGCGCTTCTCTGTAACGTTAACGAGTGTTAAATTGCTAAAACAGAAAGAAACTGTGAATAATAATAATAACAACAGTAGTAGATATGGCGGCAGCTTGTGTATATAGTAGTAAATAGCTTTATACTAAATGTAATGAATTTTTAAATGAAATTATTAGGTGACATTAGGTCGAACGGCGTTAATTCAACTTTAGAGTGTCCCGAAATGGCTCAGTCGAATCCAGGCCCGACGAAGGAGGTCGAGTTCAACGAGTTTTACACAGAAGTATGGACGAGACAAAGGTACGTGATTGAAAATTTTACTTAAATAAACATGGTGTTGCTCCAGGTGAAAGAGATCGAAAAGCGCGATTCCGTTTTAACGCCCAAACAACAGATTGACAGGTTATTGAGACCTGGTTCCACATATTTTAACTTAAATCCTTTCGAAGTCCTACAAGTCGAACCAGAGACTCCTCTGGACGAAATAAAAAAGAAATATCGTAGATTGTCTATTTTAGTTCATCCGGACAAAAATCAGGACGACGCGGATCGGGCCCAGCAGGCCTTCGAGGTCGTCAACAAGGCTTGGAAGACGCTCGAAAATGACGAAACGCGCAAAAAATGCATGGACGTCATTGAGGAGGCCAAAGGACGAACGGACCTAATGGTAAGACCTCACCCAACTCATCCCAACATCCACGTAAACGAAAGTCATGCCAAATGACCTCAAAATCACTACCAAAATTATTTAACTAAATTCGATCGTTTATAGCTGACTGAAAAACGAAAAAAGGCGAAAAAAGACGGCAAAGACAGCATCCCCGAAGACGACCCCGAGAAGTACAAACATGCTGTTTATGTTCTCACCATGAAACTTTTTGCAGATATGGAAAGGAAACGAAGGGAGCTGGCGGCAAAAGACCAGGAAGAACGAAAACGGAAACGGGAAAAAGAGATAGAGGAAGAGGAGGCTGCTAAAGCTCAAAAGGAATGGCAGAAGAATTTTGAGGTGGGATAACCATTAATCTCCAATCTTGTTTGTGTTAGAGATCGAAATTTTTATTTTCCAGGATTCCAGACAGAGCCGGGTAGACAGCTGGTTGTCGTTTAAAGCCGGAAGTTCCTCAAAGAAGTCTACCAAGAAAATGAAGTCTTTCAAACCGCCAAAACCCAAGCCGGAAACCCGATAAATAAATTAGTATTTAGCGTTAGGTATTACAAGTGTATATATAAATAAATATACGTGTTCATGAATGTAACGAACATTTTAATTAATGATTATTTTAATTAAAATAAACAACTACTCATTTTTATAGAAATGATCATTTTATTAGCAATTACCCTCTTACATTCCAAAAAGTATCTAAAGAAGATAATCAATGGTATTTAAAAGAAATTGAATAAGTATCAGGAAGGTATAGACTAACAGGTCGGTTGAATAGGACCGAAAGGTCATAAATCAGTAATAACAGGTAGGTACTCCTGATAATGGGTAATTGAATAAATTAGTGAACGTTTTTGCAGAGTCTTTTTTATTGGACATTTTCCCAGTTACACCCCAAAAAAATATGCAAATAAGCAATCATTTCCGTTTTTAAAAAGAAACTGAAGTAGTATCAGGCAGGTAGAAAGTCTAACAGGTCGACTGAATAGGGCTGAGAGGTCGTAAATCAGTAATAACAGGTAGGTACTCCTTATAATGGGCAATGCTCGAAAAAATTGTTGAATATTTTTGAATAAATTAGTGAACGCTTTTGGTGTGTCTTTTTTATTACTTTACCAGAATTGCACCTTTTTTTCTCAAAACATTTAGTGTAGTCATTGAATTCTTCGAGAAGACTTATAATTCCTGATAACAATCTAAATTTCCAGGAATTTTTTTAAATTTCAAGAAAGAACTGCACCAAAAACGACCCAAAGAAATTAAAAATTCAATAAAATACAGACAAACAAATTATGAAAGTGTACGTTTTTATTACTATTTTTCATAAGTGAAGACGGCAAAGTTTAAGGTTCGATTTTACAAAATAGATTACGATTTTCGTTTCATTACTCCATTTATTACAAAATAATTATACTTTACGTCTTTTAGGCATATTATATGCTATCAAAAATCACCAGTAAATATTACAACAACAATAAAAATAGTAGGTAATAATGAAATATAGTATCATTGTTTATTTATTATATTCGGAAGGCGTAACGTATTATACAAACACACATCATAATACCGAATGTAAAAAAGGGATTTATACTTAGAAAAAATCTAAACACAAGTAACATTGTAAAGTGTCACAATAATACATAATTAATTAAACTATACATGCAAAAAAAAACATTTACACAAACAACCAATATAATTATTGCTTAGTTATTAATAAATAGGGAACCAAAAGGAATCGAATAATACTCCCGAGGAAAAGAAGGAAATTCCCAGTGTCGCAATTAATTTGCTATCATAATTAACGTAACCGTTTAAGCCGATAGGGACAAAATTATATTAGGAAAACGTGTACAAGAACGAAAGTTTCGTAAAAATTACGTAAAACACCATCAATCAACATCGAGATTTGTTCAAGAAATCTTATTCAACTTTTCGAAATATTTAAACATTTAATTTCGTGTTATGTGTAAAAAATAAACTGGCGGTGCATCAAACAACACAATTCATGAAAAAGCCGAAGTAAAACCCGCTTTTGGGAAGAGATTAATAATTGCAATATAAGGTCATTTAAAAAATCTCACTTTCAAGTCAAAGGTATTTACGTACTACATACTTACGTATGTAACGTCTACTAAAAATTTTCTTTTTGTACAAAAATAGTTGAAGAGTATGTTTTCGGTTATTAATTAATAAATAATCATTAATAAAGGGGATTGTTAGGTGGCTCGATAATCCAACGTGGGTCTCAGGGGGAGACATCCCTCTACCCAAAAGTTTGGGCGTTCCAGCATGCTCTTCCATAACGAGATCTCTTTCCCTGTAGAATCCATCCAATCAACAGGTTTCAGATAATGTTTACCTGAAAGATTTTCTTCAATACTTTATGTTTTCAAATTAGAAAAGAACCATCGTCGAAATGTCCTTTCTTTTCGGCTTTAATTAACTAAGTAGTCTCGAAAGATAACGTGGTACTTAATTTAATAAAAATTTGATTGTAAGAAAGATCATCCATTTCTTCTCTAATTTTTCGTGTTTTAACGTTATCTTCCATTTAATCGATAGAATCGATCGATTTCGATTTTCCAATTTCTTCAAATTTTCTTGTGTCGTATTTTGTATTTACACGTGCGTATTATTTCACACCAAAAAAAAAATTAGATCAACTAATATTTACACTTACCTTATGTATAAATGTGTTTAATACTTTAGAAAAAAAGTAAAAAAAAAGTTAGGAATACAAATTCTCATACTAACCGTTTAATTAGAGAGATGTTCATCAATTTTGTTACCTCACACTGAACATTAAAAAAAAAAAAACAGTCGCGAAAAGGGGTAGATTTATTTTTCGCAATTTTTGTCAGAAAATAATTAAGTAAGTTTTGCAATACATCGATCCAAAGAGTCAGGGAAAAAAATAGAATTTTTAGCGTTTTGGTACCCATCAATAGAAAATAATCATCACCCAACAAAAACAGTACGTAAATAAATAAAACACAAAGTAAATTTTTCATTAAAAAATAAAAACTAATGAAAAAGACTGACCTGTGCCCAAGGAGAACCTAACTCCTCCCAAAAATTCGTTACTTCCCAATCGATCGTGATCCCAAATGGTGAGTTCCAGACATCTTTCTGCGAGCTCTTGCAGTGTTACGTCTTCGTATACGAAAGTATGATTCCAGACAGGATTAACAGTTTTTCTTATCACAGGAGTTTTTTGTTTTGAGCTTCTACCTTTATCTGGTAAAAGGTAACTGAAAAGAAAAAGAAACCAAACTGCTTCAAACAGTTGAAAAACTAAATCTTTTGCAGTTTTTCCTGGATTTTGGATTCATGATGCGTACCTAGATATGCTGAAATTTATTTACCTTTTACAAAATGGATCCGAGGTTCCACTGGCTTTGATGGCGGTCAAACTTTTGGCCTCCTTGACCAGAACGTGAAGCGAACCGCGAGAATGTTTGCCTTTTTTCCGTATTGTCATGTCGGGTGGTACGAATTTTAGACCAACTAAAATGTCACCCTTGAACGACAAAATTTCATCGAAAGGCTCGGTCTAAAAACGTAAAAACAAAACTTGAGTTTAGGTCAGAATTCCCTAAAGTATTACATTATCCTCACCCTTTCCTGGAGGTTGTACCATTTGGGTGTGGGGTCGTCAAACACTTTATTCTCCAAAGCGATCATGACCTCCCCCAGGAAATCATTCCTACCAAACATATCTGAATGCCAAACGGTTAGCCACAAGGTTCTGGTTTCTATACTGTTTAGAGACATGTGGAATTTGAGTACCTCGTCGAAGATGGGGTTGAGGGTGTGCTTCTTCACCTTTGTTTTTCGTTTACCACTCTTCGACTTGTCTGGCAGAAGATAGACCTACAAATATCAACGGATTGATGACAAATGTTACGTTTAAAAGGGTCCATAAAATGGTACCTTTACGTATGGATCCGATCGATTTCGTTTCATGTCAACGGCCGCAAGATCTTTGCACTGTTTGATATGAATTTCGAGACAGCCCGCTTTGTAATTGTACTGGAGGCCAAACTCAACTTGACCCCTTACAGCCACCGTACCATATCTCCCTTCACCCGCCCCCGAATACACGCTTGCCATTGAATCGGAACGAATCTAAAAGACAAAAACAATCTACTAAAACCGAACACCAAAAATGGTTTCTGATTGTGAAACGTTCGAAAAAAAAATCGACTTTACCGTCGCATTTCTTTTAATGTTCCTGAAAGTAGGAGGTAAACTGATGTTACCCAAAGATTTTCGCCACATTTTAACCTTGTAATCAAACACTTAATCTACATTTAGTACTTATAGTAATTTTTTTCAGATCTAAGGAATAGAGACGTTTTATTCAGAAGTATGAGTTTGTTATAGAGATAACGACGTCAGACCAAAAATTATCTTACGTGCACCATTACAAAATTCGAGATTAATGTGATAAGACATATCTAAAATACTGACAAGGGTAAACACTAATAAAACTATTTGATAAACTTCCAATATATATGGGTAACATGTAACAATACTGATTTGTAAAGTGATCTACAAAATTCTTTTAAAAGTAGTTTCCTGGTTAAGAACTTTTAATTGTATTAATCAAATCAGAAATTGATTAGATAATGAATGCAAAGTATTCGTGAATATCGATTTGACCCAGTCATTGACACGTATACAATAGGAAATCGCGTAGAGGGTAGAATAACTATTAAAAATAGCCTCAACAGTATCGTGTTATTTATACTTTATTTGAAGGTATGAAGTCGTATTTCTGGAAGTCAAAAACATCTAATGGTGTTTTTGTACTGCTGCACAAATGCAAACGATAAATGTCAGTTATCTGATAAGGATCACACAACATTAAACTCTTTTGAATATATATGATGCATGGTAAGTCACTTACCAGAAAAAAACTGTCCTGCAGACGCCAGAAACAATAAAAACATGTTGTTAAATACATTAAAAAAAAAAAACAAATGTTCTGATTTATTAACCCCCAATCTTAAGTCAATTCGTTTATAATACGAATGTCTGTTGATGTAGTAGTTGTGAATGAAAGGGAGACAGGCAATGTCGTGCAAAACTCACCCCTAACGTAGACAAACATGACCGAGTCTGGTGGATACCAAACATCCTGTCGATGTCATCATCACGCCATTCTGAATTCGATCGAGTCACCCTTCTTCCACCTGGGGCCACGGGACTTGGGGTTGCACTCTTGCTTAACCCCCTTCCGACCAAAGTAGGCGACGAACTCGCTTCCGAAATGTTAGCATCATCTAGAACAAATTAAAAGAAAAAATTCACTTTTTACATATTTACTAGGCCACTACTCTAGATACCAAATATTTTTGCACTGGTTTATCATGGGTTAATTTTCTCCCCCTTCCATCCCTGCTTATTCTCAACGGGGTTAAAATCTCTTTAACATTCTAAAAACAATTACCGTTTTTCTTCCGTTTTATCGAATGTAAATTGTAGCATTAATGTGGTGTATTTGGACAGATAATTTCATGATAAATAAAAAATGCACTGTTTCGTCCGGGATTGCGGCATTTATTTAATGCAAGCTTTTAACTAGATTAACTCACCAAATCCAATTAGTTGGTTAGCTGGCTCGCCCGTCGACTTGATGGATTCAGTACCAGTTATGGAAAATAAATAACGAACTTTTTCATTTTCGTTTAATAGACGATCGCGTTCCCCCAATTCTACCACGATATTGTCGCTTTTGGGTTCTACAATTTCAGGCAGATTTCGACTGAACTCTGCCTATTAATTCAACATTTAAAAACTTATTTGAGTTTTGGTACCAATAATTATCATAGTCGTACCCTACACTCATTATTCAAAAGTAAAAAGTTGGTGTGTTTGGCACCTCCACCATTTTTACATTTAATTTATTGCAATTAAATTTTAATATGTAATGAATAACAACAAGACCTAGTGTCTACAGGCCCAATTAATTATTTTGTTTTGTTATATAGATTTTTTTGCAATAAACTAAATATTTATTGGTGACATATTGAGTAATATAAATTGCTATAATAATCGCAAACAACCGTGTACTTTGTGGTTTTCGACCATGGCAGAAATTAGTAACGCATATTTCATAAAGTTTTGGACAATGTGATTCTTTCGTATTTTGACATTTTTAGCGACAAACATCACGATTGTTTGTCGACAAAAATTTAAAAATTACATTCGTAAACGCCGATAACACGTAGCCGACATGTTTCTGTTAAATTGAAATAGAAAGCAAGTAAATTAACTTAGCTTTGTAGATAGAAAGTTCTCAGTTAGCTGTTATGCACATTTTTGTTTATTAGCAAACACATTATAGAGAAAACATTGTCATAATGCCATATTAGAAATGTCATAAAACAAAAGCACCAACCAACAGTATACATTATGTTAAATCCTTGTTTAAAACAAATTGTAATTTTTAAAAAATGCTTCAGTTTCAAATTGTACAACTACGATAAGATCGTGCAATCTTTTTATAATAATAATTAGTAGGAATTCTTATCAAAATCAGTCTTACGATAAGGGGCTGAAAACAAAATTGCTTCCTTGTACTGCGGTGAAAGTGATTTGAAGTTTCCGACAAATTTTGATAAAATAAACGTAAGAAAAAGATATTATGTTAAAAATAAATTGACTATTAAGTAGTAGCTAATAATTTATTTTTTATTTCATTAGATTTTACCTTTTGACACCTCTTCGCTTTTGCAAAATGAGCGTCTATATCGTCAGAATTATCACCTCCGAATTTAAAACAAAAACAACAACAATTATAAAATTTTCCCACAAAAGTGTCATTGGCTAGGCCATCGTGGAAAGCGAAATATTTGCTATGTGCTTTCATTATAGCAACTGAAACTGATTTTCCATTACTATTTAAACGATAAGACACGCGCACTTGTTTGATAAAAACTAAATTATGATAAAACAGTAGTTTATATCCCAGTATTAAAATATAAAATAAAAATAGTAATAGTAATATTAATAAATTGTAGTTTACACCTCTTAACCTGAAGGAAATTTTTCACAATGCATATGACAAACCGTTAACTATGCGAATAACAGAACGCTTTTGATATTTAGCAAAGAAAATTATAACAGTCGCTGTCAATTTTCCGAGATTGTCGCTTCCGCTTACACTTACATATTTCCGTTCAACCAATAACCGATAAATTTAATTGGCTTTCTGTTAATAAAATACTTTTTTGTCCTTTTTAAAAAATGTACAGTCCTAAACCGACGTACTGTTCCTAATACTTTACAAACGATTAAAAAATACAACCCCAAGCGCAAATAATACAAGGCTGTGCCCTTGCAGCAGTTAGGCAGGTTTTGAACTTAACAATTAATAAATAAATTAAATAATAACAACGTGATTGTTTAACATATTTATGAGATATAACGTAGCCATTCGCAAAGGTCAAACGGTGGACTCCGAAACGTTACGTGAACGAATGCACTTAGAAACCCAGAAACATAAATATGTTTGTACAAGTACCATCCAGTTAAATATCACCTTGCGCCGTGATTAATTGGACAATTGCTTTGCTATTTGAAATAGAATACATTGTAATTACACTTTTGCAACCTCTGCAGTATCTAAACCACGAAGGCGGACTGATAAAAAAAAATGAGTGCCTAGTAGTTCGTTAAAACTAAAACTTATCTATTCGCATACGTTATCGAACATTATAGATGTTTTTTAACCCTGGTTAGTATTTAGATTGAGGCTTAATCGAAAGAAACTTAAAAAATGGAGGCTACCTACGTGATTGGAAATTCAGGCATGCATTCTTTAACAAAGATTAATTGACTGACATCATTTTTTACAAGGGATATTATAATAAAATCATCATCAATCCTAAAACTGGTTACGTAGATACGCTCCTCCACTCTTTCCTACTCTAATTCTACAGTAATCTAATCTAGGTCTACTTCTACCCTTCCTAACTCCTGTTTCTGCCTCTAATATGTCTCTGACTAGACCTTCATGCCTGGGAAGGTGTCCTACCAACCTATCTCGCTTATTTCTTATTGACTTCCATATAGTCCTCTGTTCTCCTATTCTTTCTAGCATCTCTTCATTTCTAACCTTCTCTATCCACGGTATCCTCAACATCCGTCTATAACACCACGCTTCTAACCTTTTCTTTGCCGCAGCGCTCACAGTCCATGTTTCGCACCCGTACAACGCCACGTTCCAAACATACACCATTAACAATCTTTTTCGAATTTCTAAATTAACCGTTCGCGAGCATAGAAGTGACTTCTTTCTATTGAAGGCGACTCGACCCTGCGCTATCCTCTGCTTTATATCCCTACTACTCCATCATATCGTATTGAAATTTTAGGTAGTATTACATATTAAATTAATGATTTATTATCATTGTTGAAATTATAGAATTATACAACTGTAAAATTAGTATTTTGAGCGCTGCATTTTTATTGATCATCCGTTTGCTGACGTCAATATGACGCCAATGAAAAATGGAGAATGATTTGAAATAGGCGCGTTTTATATCGGTTTATTCCCTTTTAATCCCATTTCAAGTCCTTATATCATAAAAATATTTACGTATTAATAATTTCATTCCTTTTTGAGTTACGAATATGCTCGAATCACAAAAAAATGTCAAAGGATTCCAGAAATCTACACGGATAACGTTACAGAAAGTGTCAGAACTTGACAAGTAACCTGTCGCGCTTCTCTGTAACGTTAACGAGTGTTAAATTGCTAAAACAGAAAGAAACTGTGAATAATAATAATAACAACAGTAGTAGATATGGCGGCAGCTTGTGTATATAGTAGTAAATAGCTTTATACTAAATGTAATGAATTTTTAAATGAAATTATTAGGTGACATTAGGTCGAACGGCGTTAATTCAACTTTAGAGTGTCCCGAAATGGCTCAGTCGAATCCAGGCCCGACGAAGGAGGTCGAGTTCAACGAGTTTTACACAGAAGTATGGACGAGACAAAGGTACGTGATTGAAAATTTTACTTAAATAAACATGGTGTTGCTCCAGGTGAAAGAGATCGAAAAGCGCGATTCCGTTTTAACGCCCAAACAACAGATTGACAGGTTATTGAGACCTGGTTCCACATATTTTAACTTAAATCCTTTCGAAGTCCTACAAGTCGAACCAGAGACTCCTCTGGACGAAATAAAAAAGAAATATCGTAGATTGTCTATTTTAGTTCATCCGGACAAAAATCAGGACGACGCGGATCGGGCCCAGCAGGCCTTCGAGGTCGTCAACAAGGCTTGGAAGACGCTCGAAAATGACGAAACGCGCAAAAAATGCATGGACGTCATTGAGGAGGCCAAAGGACGAACGGACCTAATGGTAAGACCTCACCCAACTCATCCCAACATCCACGTAAACGAAAGTCATGCCAAATGACCTCAAAATCACTACCAAAATTATTTAACTAAATTCGATCGTTTATAGCTGACTGAAAAACGAAAAAAGGCGAAAAAAGACGGCAAAGACAGCATCCCCGAAGACGACCCCGAGAAGTACAAACATGCTGTTTATGTTCTCACCATGAAACTTTTTGCAGATATGGAAAGGAAACGAAGGGAGCTGGCGGCAAAAGACCAGGAAGAACGAAAACGGAAACGGGAAAAAGAGATAGAGGAAGAGGAGGCTGCTAAAGCTCAAAAGGAATGGCAGAAGAATTTTGAGGTGGGATAACCATTAATCTCCAATCTTGTTTGTGTTAGAGATCGAAATTTTTATTTTCCAGGATTCCAGACAGAGCCGGGTAGACAGCTGGTTGTCGTTTAAAGCCGGAAGTTCCTCAAAGAAGTCTACCAAGAAAATGAAGTCTTTCAAACCGCCAAAACCCAAGCCGGAAACCCGATAAATAAATTAGTATTTAGCGTTAGGTATTACAAGTGTATATATAAATAAATATACGTGTTCATGAATGTAACGAACATTTTAATTAATGATTATTTTAATTAAAATAAACAACTACTCATTTTTATAGAAATGATCATTTTATTAGCAATTACCCTCTTACATTCCAAAAAGTATCTAAAGAAGATAATCAATGGTATTTAAAAGAAATTGAATAAGTATCAGGAAGGTATAGACTAACAGGTCGGTTGAATAGGACCGAAAGGTCATAAATCAGTAATAACAGGTAGGTACTCCTGATAATGGGTAATTGAATAAATTAGTGAACGTTTTTGCAGAGTCTTTTTTATTGGACATTTTCCCAGTTACACCCCAAAAAAATATGCAAATAAGCAATCATTTCCGTTTTTAAAAAGAAACTGAAGTAGTATCAGGCAGGTAGAAAGTCTAACAGGTCGACTGAATAGGGCTGAGAGGTCGTAAATCAGTAATAACAGGTAGGTACTCCTTATAATGGGCAATGCTCGAAAAAATTGTTGAATATTTTTGAATAAATTAGTGAACGCTTTTGGTGTGTCTTTTTTATTACTTTACCAGAATTGCACCTTTTTTTCTCAAAACATTTAGTGTAGTCATTGAATTCTTCGAGAAGACTTATAATTCCTGATAACAATCTAAATTTCCAGGAATTTTTTTAAATTTCAAGAAAGAACTGCACCAAAAACGACCCAAAGAAATTAAAAATTCAATAAAATACAGACAAACAAATTATGAAAGTGTACGTTTTTATTACTATTTTTCATAAGTGAAGACGGCAAAGTTTAAGGTTCGATTTTACAAAATAGATTACGATTTTCGTTTCATTACTCCATTTATTACAAAATAATTATACTTTACGTCTTTTAGGCATATTATATGCTATCAAAAATCACCAGTAAATATTACAACAACAATAAAAATAGTAGGTAATAATGAAATATAGTATCATTGTTTATTTATTATATTCGGAAGGCGTAACGTATTATACAAACACACATCATAATACCGAATGTAAAAAAGGGATTTATACTTAGAAAAAATCTAAACACAAGTAACATTGTAAAGTGTCACAATAATACATAATTAATTAAACTATACATGCAAAAAAAAACATTTACACAAACAACCAATATAATTATTGCTTAGTTATTAATAAATAGGGAACCAAAAGGAATCGAATAATACTCCCGAGGAAAAGAAGGAAATTCCCAGTGTCGCAATTAATTTGCTATCATAATTAACGTAACCGTTTAAGCCGATAGGGACAAAATTATATTAGGAAAACGTGTACAAGAACGAAAGTTTCGTAAAAATTACGTAAAACACCATCAATCAACATCGAGATTTGTTCAAGAAATCTTATTCAACTTTTCGAAATATTTAAACATTTAATTTCGTGTTATGTGTAAAAAATAAACTGGCGGTGCATCAAACAACACAATTCATGAAAAAGCCGAAGTAAAACCCGCTTTTGGGAAGAGATTAATAATTGCAATATAAGGTCATTTAAAAAATCTCACTTTCAAGTCAAAGGTATTTACGTACTACATACTTACGTATGTAACGTCTACTAAAAATTTTCTTTTTGTACAAAAATAGTTGAAGAGTATGTTTTCGGTTATTAATTAATAAATAATCATTAATAAAGGGGATTGTTAGGTGGCTCGATAATCCAACGTGGGTCTCAGGGGGAGACATCCCTCTACCCAAAAGTTTGGGCGTTCCAGCATGCTCTTCCATAACGAGATCTCTTTCCCTGTAGAATCCATCCAATCAACAGGTTTCAGATAATGTTTACCTGAAAGATTTTCTTCAATACTTTATGTTTTCAAATTAGAAAAGAACCATCGTCGAAATGTCCTTTCTTTTCGGCTTTAATTAACTAAGTAGTCTCGAAAGATAACGTGGTACTTAATTTAATAAAAATTTGATTGTAAGAAAGATCATCCATTTCTTCTCTAATTTTTCGTGTTTTAACGTTATCTTCCATTTAATCGATAGAATCGATCGATTTCGATTTTCCAATTTCTTCAAATTTTCTTGTGTCGTATTTTGTATTTACACGTGCGTATTATTTCACACCAAAAAAAAAATTAGATCAACTAATATTTACACTTACCTTATGTATAAATGTGTTTAATACTTTAGAAAAAAAGTAAAAAAAAAGTTAGGAATACAAATTCTCATACTAACCGTTTAATTAGAGAGATGTTCATCAATTTTGTTACCTCACACTGAACATTAAAAAAAAAAAAACAGTCGCGAAAAGGGGTAGATTTATTTTTCGCAATTTTTGTCAGAAAATAATTAAGTAAGTTTTGCAATACATCGATCCAAAGAGTCAGGGAAAAAAATAGAATTTTTAGCGTTTTGGTACCCATCAATAGAAAATAATCATCACCCAACAAAAACAGTACGTAAATAAATAAAACACAAAGTAAATTTTTCATTAAAAAATAAAAACTAATGAAAAAGACTGACCTGTGCCCAAGGAGAACCTAACTCCTCCCAAAAATTCGTTACTTCCCAATCGATCGTGATCCCAAATGGTGAGTTCCAGACATCTTTCTGCGAGCTCTTGCAGTGTTACGTCTTCGTATACGAAAGTATGATTCCAGACAGGATTAACAGTTTTTCTTATCACAGGAGTTTTTTGTTTTGAGCTTCTACCTTTATCTGGTAAAAGGTAACTGAAAAGAAAAAGAAACCAAACTGCTTCAAACAGTTGAAAAACTAAATCTTTTGCAGTTTTTCCTGGATTTTGGATTCATGATGCGTACCTAGATATGCTGAAATTTATTTACCTTTTACAAAATGGATCCGAGGTTCCACTGGCTTTGATGGCGGTCAAACTTTTGGCCTCCTTGACCAGAACGTGAAGCGAACCGCGAGAATGTTTGCCTTTTTTCCGTATTGTCATGTCGGGTGGTACGAATTTTAGACCAACTAAAATGTCACCCTTGAACGACAAAATTTCATCGAAAGGCTCGGTCTAAAAACGTAAAAACAAAACTTGAGTTTAGGTCAGAATTCCCTAAAGTATTACATTATCCTCACCCTTTCCTGGAGGTTGTACCATTTGGGTGTGGGGTCGTCAAACACTTTATTCTCCAAAGCGATCATGACCTCCCCCAGGAAATCATTCCTACCAAACATATCTGAATGCCAAACGGTTAGCCACAAGGTTCTGGTTTCTATACTGTTTAGAGACATGTGGAATTTGAGTACCTCGTCGAAGATGGGGTTGAGGGTGTGCTTCTTCACCTTTGTTTTTCGTTTACCACTCTTCGACTTGTCTGGCAGAAGATAGACCTACAAATATCAACGGATTGATGACAAATGTTACGTTTAAAAGGGTCCATAAAATGGTACCTTTACGTATGGATCCGATCGATTTCGTTTCATGTCAACGGCCGCAAGATCTTTGCACTGTTTGATATGAATTTCGAGACAGCCCGCTTTGTAATTGTACTGGAGGCCAAACTCAACTTGACCCCTTACAGCCACCGTACCATATCTCCCTTCACCCGCCCCCGAATACACGCTTGCCATTGAATCGGAACGAATCTAAAAGACAAAAACAATCTACTAAAACCGAACACCAAAAATGGTTTCTGATTGTGAAACGTTCGAAAAAAAAATCGACTTTACCGTCGCATTTCTTTTAATGTTCCTGAAAGTAGGAGGTAAACTGATGTTACCCAAAGATTTTCGCCACATTTTAACCTTGTAATCAAACACTTAATCTACATTTAGTACTTATAGTAATTTTTTTCAGATCTAAGGAATAGAGACGTTTTATTCAGAAGTATGAGTTTGTTATAGAGATAACGACGTCAGACCAAAAATTATCTTACGTGCACCATTACAAAATTCGAGATTAATGTGATAAGACATATCTAAAATACTGACAAGGGTAAACACTAATAAAACTATTTGATAAACTTCCAATATATATGGGTAACATGTAACAATACTGATTTGTAAAGTGATCTACAAAATTCTTTTAAAAGTAGTTTCCTGGTTAAGAACTTTTAATTGTATTAATCAAATCAGAAATTGATTAGATAATGAATGCAAAGTATTCGTGAATATCGATTTGACCCAGTCATTGACACGTATACAATAGGAAATCGCGTAGAGGGTAGAATAACTATTAAAAATAGCCTCAACAGTATCGTGTTATTTATACTTTATTTGAAGGTATGAAGTCGTATTTCTGGAAGTCAAAAACATCTAATGGTGTTTTTGTACTGCTGCACAAATGCAAACGATAAATGTCAGTTATCTGATAAGGATCACACAACATTAAACTCTTTTGAATATATATGATGCATGGTAAGTCACTTACCAGAAAAAAACTGTCCTGCAGACGCCAGAAACAATAAAAACATGTTGTTAAATACATTAAAAAAAAAAAACAAATGTTCTGATTTATTAACCCCCAATCTTAAGTCAATTCGTTTATAATACGAATGTCTGTTGATGTAGTAGTTGTGAATGAAAGGGAGACAGGCAATGTCGTGCAAAACTCACCCCTAACGTAGACAAACATGACCGAGTCTGGTGGATACCAAACATCCTGTCGATGTCATCATCACGCCATTCTGAATTCGATCGAGTCACCCTTCTTCCACCTGGGGCCACGGGACTTGGGGTTGCACTCTTGCTTAACCCCCTTCCGACCAAAGTAGGCGACGAACTCGCTTCCGAAATGTTAGCATCATCTAGAACAAATTAAAAGAAAAAATTCACTTTTTACATATTTACTAGGCCACTACTCTAGATACCAAATATTTTTGCACTGGTTTATCATGGGTTAATTTTCTCCCCCTTCCATCCCTGCTTATTCTCAACGGGGTTAAAATCTCTTTAACATTCTAAAAACAATTACCGTTTTTCTTCCGTTTTATCGAATGTAAATTGTAGCATTAATGTGGTGTATTTGGACAGATAATTTCATGATAAATAAAAAATGCACTGTTTCGTCCGGGATTGCGGCATTTATTTAATGCAAGCTTTTAACTAGATTAACTCACCAAATCCAATTAGTTGGTTAGCTGGCTCGCCCGTCGACTTGATGGATTCAGTACCAGTTATGGAAAATAAATAACGAACTTTTTCATTTTCGTTTAATAGACGATCGCGTTCCCCCAATTCTACCACGATATTGTCGCTTTTGGGTTCTACAATTTCAGGCAGATTTCGACTGAACTCTGCCTATTAATTCAACATTTAAAAACTTATTTGAGTTTTGGTACCAATAATTATCATAGTCGTACCCTACACTCATTATTCAAAAGTAAAAAGTTGGTGTGTTTGGCACCTCCACCATTTTTACATTTAATTTATTGCAATTAAATTTTAATATGTAATGAATAACAACAAGACCTAGTGTCTACAGGCCCAATTAATTATTTTGTTTTGTTATATAGATTTTTTGCAATAA